GCATTCACCATCAGAGAACTTCGTAAAACGAACCTTCAAAATCCCATTTCTGGGCAGGAAACAAAATCCTATCCAACAAGAAGCCCAATTTCCAGTGCTTCCTTTCCAACTGCCTAGCCAGCAAAACCCTCTGACCCCTAGAACATGTTATGAAAAGTCATTCTTTTACACAGGTCGGCCTTGAGGTGACAAAATTTCAACGTGAATGGTCATTTAAATGATCTGTTTCTTTGGCTTTGTCATAGTATTCTGCATGGTTTGGGAATACATTTGTTCATTTTATAATTGGCATGAAAAAAATCCTAAAATATCCAATCTTATAAATTTGAAAAATGAAAATAAAAAAGATCCAACATCAGCTTTTCCTTTGAATCTAACTTATGGAGAGAAACTATATGAGAAAGAAGGAGACAAAAATTATCTGAACTCCAACCTCCTTCAAATTCAAGTTCAGACAAGACAAAGTGGGGAGGTTTACAGCTCATTGTGCTTCATTGAAGAGGCTCTGACTTCTGCACAGGAAAGTGAGGGGTCTGAGTGAGTGCAAATCTCCTTCCTACTGTCCCCTGTCCCCTGCTTTGACCCTAAAGTCATTACTTCATCCCAAAGAAAGCTTCACCTTTGCTTCTATCCCACCTCACAGAAGGTCAGGTATACACATTCATGACCAAACCACAAAGCAAATGAAAGTGAGCAGAGGGGAAGAAGAAGGATGAGTAGCTGCTGCCTGCCTGCTGGAGTCTGTAGAGCTGTGTGTCCATGAAGAACCGCATGACTCTGAGAAAACCATACACAAAGCCCTGGCTGGTGTAGCTCAGTGGATTGAGCGCAGCCTGTGAACCAAATGGTCACTGGTTCGATTCCCAGTCAGGGCACATGCCTGGGTTGTGGGATGTTGCGGGCCACGTCCCCAGTAGGGCGCACACAAGAGGCAACCACACATTAATGTTTCTCTCCTTCTCTTTCTTCTTCCCTTCCCCCCGTCTAAAAATAAATAAATAAAATCTTTAAAAAAATACACGAGCCTTCCTTTGAAAAAAATCTGAAAGGTCCCCAGAAAATGTGTTAGTAACCAGTGTTGACAGCTGTGCAAGAATGTCGCCCGTGTTTTCAGCTCCTACCTTTCACTACTTGGTAGTAGGTACTCTGAACATCTGAAAGCAAACTTGCCACATCTAACAACAACAAAAGTACAGAATACCAGTGAAATTTGAATGTCAGGTAAACAAATGATCTCTAGCATAAATATGCGCTATGTATTGCATGCGTTATTTGAAATTCAAATCTTACTGGGCACCCTGTGTTTCATATGGCAACCCATGAAGGCATTTCCCTGGGGCAAAAAACATTGCAATAGCTCAGAGTGGAGATTTCTTAACAATATCATGAACCTAATGATAAAATTAACACTAAAGTGCCAAATGAAAATGAGAAAAAAACAAGAATATGTATGTCTCTATGGGGAGGGGGGTCACTTTGAAAGTATATGATTGCCTAACCACTATGCTATACATCTGAAACTAAAACAAAATGATGTGTATGTAAATTGTAACTAAAAAATAATTTTTTAAAAAGAACATTTCTGTTTCCCCAAGAATGAAATTCATTAATCAGGTGTTGGCATGTTTCTTTGAGTCAGAGACCTCAGGTTGTCTTGGTTGCAGCTTCTGAATATTTCCAAATCTCTACTTAAACATTCTGTGCTTTTCTGAATTGCACCCTGGCTATTTTTCTAAATTCTCCTTTGCTTCATTTATACAAAGAGAAATTCAATCTAAAATGTTGGTGGCCTCATCAGGTAAGCTGAAGATACCTGGGTCAGGGTTCCATTGTAAGAGGCCACCTGGACTGCTATGAGCATGTCTTTCTCTCTTAATCAACAGGTACTAAAAGGATAGCCACAATCAAATTGTGGGATGCCGTGGGGAGGGAATCTAGAAATTCTCTGATGTTAAAACGGGATCATTCTATTATTTGATAAGGTTGTAATCATTAGTCAAGGACAATTTGCAATGCTTCTTCTGGTTTTTCATTATTCCCAGCATTGTGGTATCAAAGCCATTGAATCATTGTTCTTGACTGGTTCTTCTGAAAATTGGCTCTGGACAAGTAACGTAAGAGAGGAAAGTCTTGGGGCCCAAAGTAAGAAGCACTGTTATAACAGTGGTCAGGTGTGATGGGCACCATATTGTTTCTTTAGACAGATTTAACAAATGCAGATTGAGAACCTATTATATAAGACATCTTCTAAATTCCTGTTAGTATTTTGTTCCTTTTCCTATAGTCAAATGCTACAGTTATTTATTTATTTATTCACTTAATATTTAAAAATTTTTATTTATTAATTTCAGAAAGAAAAACATCAATTCATGTTTCCACTTATTTATGCATTCATTGATTGTATGTGCTTTGATTCTTTTATGTGCCCTGACCAGGAACGAAACCCTCAATCTTGGTGTATCAGGAAGACACTCGAACCAACTGAGCTACCAGGCCAGGGCTATTTAATTTGCTTTCTAGATGTCAGTTTTCAGTGAAGCCCTCCTTATTTTATTGCCATACTTAAAACTCAAGCCATTCCTCCACCCTGAGCATGCCTCACAGCACTTTCCGCCCTCTGCCATACTATATATTTTGCTTCTTCGTGTATTGTCTGTGCTCTACCCCACCACTAGGATGTCAGTTCCACATGAACAAAAACTTGTGTTTTTTAATTTTCTTATTCCCATTCCTTCACCTCCTCCCTTTTGGCAATAATCAACTTGTTCTCTATATCTATGGGTCTGTTTGCTTTGTTTATTCATTTTATTCTGTTTTATTTTTCCTTAGATTTCACATATGAGATTATATGGTATTTGTCTTTCTCTGTCTGACTTATTTTACTTAGCATAATACCCTCTAGGTCCATATCACATCTTCTTTATCCATTCATCTATTGATGCACATCTTGGTTGTTTCCATATTTTGGTTATTACTAGTAATACTGCATTGAATATAGGGGTGCATATATCTTTTCAAATTAGTGTTTTTGTCTTCATTGGTTGAATACCCAGAAGTGGAACTGCTGGATAGTTCTATTTTTAATTTTTTGAGGAATCTCCTTACTGTTTCCTATAGTGGCTGCACTAATTTACAATCTCACCAAAAGTGTACAAAGGTTCCCTTTTCTCCTCATCCTCTTCAGCACTTATTATTTGTTGATTTATTGATGATGGCCATTCTGACAAATGTGAAGTGATACCTCATATGGTTTTCATTTGAATTTCCCTGGTGACTAGCGACTTTGAACATTCTTTTATATGTCTTTTGGCTGCCTGTGTGTCCTCTTGAGAGAACTGTCTATTCAGGTCCTCTGAACGTTTTTAAGTTGGATTGTTTGATATTTTTGGTGTAAAGTTGTGTGAGTTATTCATATATTGTGGATAGTAACCCCTTATTGGATGTTTCATTTGTGAGTATCCTCTGCCATTCAGCAGGTTTTCTTCATTTTGTTGATTTCCTTCATTGTGCAAAAATTTTTTAGTTTGATGTAGTCCCACCTGTTTGTTTTGCTTGCCTTGTTTGAAGAAATGTAGCCAAAAAGATATTGCTAAAAACAGTGTCAAAAAGTTTACTACCTATGTTTTCCTCTGGAAATTCTATAGTTTGAGGTGTAGCTTTTAAATCTTTAAAACTACAGTAATTTAGATGTTTTGGGGGGTACCAAATTTTTCAGACTGTAAGATGTACCGGACCATAAGGTTTTAGAGGAGGAAAATAGGAAAAAAATTTTGAAGCAAAAAATGTGTCAAAATATTTAATAACATAAATCACATAGGCAGCCACCACCCCCCCACCAGCGAGCCAGGTAAGCTACATTTGGACTATAAGATGCACCCCTCTTTTCCTCCCAAATTGGGGCTGGGGGGAGTACATCTTATAGTCTGAAAAATATGGTAATTTATAGATATTTTGATCTCTATAAATGAGTTGTTGAAAACTTACATTTTTATTCACTTTCATTTGTTCTCACTTTACAAATACAGGGTGGGGCAAATGTAGGTTTACAGTTATGAGTACTTGAAACAGATTTATTCTTGCATTATTATTTATTAATTATTGTATTTTTTCCATATGTACAAGTAAACCTACTTTTGTCCCACCCTGTATATATGCTGCTCTAACTCTGGACTAGGTATTATATTCCTCTTGTGTTGACGACCTGCTGTACATTATATCTTTAAATAAGAAACAAAAAAGAAAAAGAAGACAAAGTCTCTTTTTCAGTGACTTCTGATGTAGATAATGTCCCCCAAAACATATATATGTATATATAATAATTTTTCATTATGTTTATATATTTTAAATACCTATTTTAAATACTAACTTTAACAGATGATATAGAATTTCTATGTCTTAATCTAAAAAAAATTGAAAAACATTATTCTACTCACATTAACTCACTCTCTGCCTTTGACTAAAAATATAAAAGTCAACCTTGAACCAAAGCCTTTTCCATTCAAATCTTCCTAGTTTGGAAAGGACCCTGTGTAATTACTTAGGGGACTCTGAAGCACAGTGTGTTTATTGTAATTTAATTTGTTTGAGTTGTGACCAGTCTGTTGCAATCCAAAACTAAGAAACTATTTTTTTTCCAAAAAACAAAACTTACAATAAACAAAAACAAAAACAAAAATCTAGAACTATTTGGGAAGATAATTTCTTCTTTTTTGTTCTACTTAAAATAACAGAGTTCTTTATGGCTAATTTGCCTTAAGTCTATCTGTAGTAGTATCTTTAAAAACACTCCCTATGAGAAGACCTCAAGTTGCCTCCTCATTTAGCAGTGGGCCTTACACCAAGTCTCAGGAAAAAAAAATGGTGAAGAAAGACTGGGTAATAATAATGCCTTGAAGTTGTGTGAGACTTTTAACCCTCCGAAGTCCATGATGTGGTTAAGTCTATGCAGAGCCTGAAGAAGCATGACCAGGAACACAGGAAGAAGTGAGGCTCTTACTCACCGAAAGGTTCACAGCTGAGGCGCGACTGGACCTCAGTCTCCTCTATTCCCAGCTTCCAGCCTTCTTCACTGTTCCTCACTGATGGAAGTAAGAAAAAAGATATCTAAGAGTGGCCCCAGGGAAGTGATAAACCAGCAATAACTGAAATTTGGTGGGAAAAACAAAACAACTAGAGACTGCTGTGCAAAAAATAATAACAATAACTAGCCTCACAAAGGCTGTCAGGAGTTTTTCACTGAACTCCTCTGGATCTACTTGGAGACTCTGACAGAGCTCAGATGTCCTACACTGGATTATCTCGAGGTCCTGTCCAGCTCCTTGACACCACCATTCAGTGTCCCCAACCAGAGTTTCAAAAGTACACAGAAGTCGAACCCCAGCCCATCACCAGCTATAAGGAGGCTGCTAACTGGCATTGGGGGTGTGAAATGAAAACAGGGCCAGTGGTTTCTGGAGGCACCTCTGTTAATCAACACAAGTGTGACTTACCATTTGTTTAAATGATGCCCATGAATTAAGAACTTACTTTGGACTAAGCACCTACAAATGCTTTACCTACAGTGTCTCATCTTATCTGCCCATCCCTAAGGGGTACAAATTACTACCAGCCTTCTGGTATTAATAGAGGAGGAAACCAAAGGCTTAGAAAAGAACTTTTGAAAAGGTCCTCACACCTAGTGAATTGGCAGAGTTGGGATTTGAACTTGGTCTGGCTAACCCTGGAACCCATGCTCCTACTAATATGCTCTTGCCCTTCCTTGGGGGATGGTGCAATTCGGGTGTTTGAAGAACAATGAGGACTCAGGCATGCATGGCCCAGAGGACAATGCAGGGCAGGAGTGGAAATACAGAAGGCTAGAGGTAGGGCTTCAAAGACTACTCAACACCAGCTGGAGAGGTTGCTAGTGCTTCTGCAGTCTGACCTACTCTAGGAACCGTGTCACAGTGGTAAAAAGGGACAGAGGTGCAGCAGCTCCTGGCAAACTGCTCCCCTGCCAGTATCAGGAAGCTCATAAAAGCTTTAAAGCAAGGAATTTATGTGAGCTCAATGGTATCTCAAAAAGATTAATCTGGCAACCATGCACAGAAGATATTAAAGGTAACAAGATGCTGGAGGCAAGGAAACTGGTTAGGAGGCAATTGCCAAAACAGAGCAGTAGAAACAGGGCAAAGGGACAAATGTGAGCATTACCCACATGCAGGAAGAACTGACAGGCCCTAGGGCCCTACGTTGTTGAGACTGTGGTCCATGATGGTCTCAGGGGAAGAGAAGAGGAGGAAAGATGCTCTCAGAGCCAGTAGTCACCCCAGCCCTGCACACTCTGGGGCCTGCCTCTTCTGTCTCCACACCAGACCACAGGCTCCAAGGAGTCTGGGAACCTTCGCATGTCTGGCAACCCCACAGCTGCTCTACAGTGCCCTGGAGTTTGGGAGACTCAACAAACACTGACTGGCAGTCTGTTTCCGCTGCCTGGAATGCTCCATTCCTGCTTAGGCCTGGAAACTCTCCGTAGGAAGGTCTCCCTGCAGTCCCAGCACAACATCTAAGAGGCCTCTGTGACCATCAGTCTAAACTGGGTCCCCAAGCTTTCCTCCCCATAGAAACGTTTCTTTGTAGTATATATTACAATGTGGACTTTATATTTGTTTTTTTTATTTTTTATTTCTTTTTGCTGTTTTGTTGTCAGTTGTGGTATTCTAGCTTCCCCCACTAAGCTCCTCATAGTCAGTTTTTCCTTTCACCACTGAGTCCCCAAAAGCTAGCATAGTGATGGTCCATAGAAATAAAGTATAGGCCCCATTTTTAACAATAAGGAGAAATGGGTGAAATTAATTTTAATACCATATTTTATTTAACCAAATATAGATGAAATGTTATTTAAATATGTGATCTATGAAAACATTATTCATTAAACAGCTTACATTCCTTTTCCCTTGTTGGAAGTCTTACACCACTGTGTTTGACACTTCTAGCATATCTCAATTAGGACCAGCCAGGTGTCAAGTATTCCATAGCCACATGTGGGGAGTGGCTGCTGTAATGGACAACACAGATCCTTGGAGGATGCTTGACATGTATTACTTACTTAATCAAAGGTTTACTCATGAAAAAGAGAGGATGAGAAGAGAAAAAAGGATAAAAGCAAGAGAAAAGACAAAAGAAAAGAAAGACTAGCATTTGTCAGGTATTTACTACATTAGGTTCTTTCATATATTAATAAATTATGTAATTTAATCCTCACATCAAAGGCCAGATGGCATTAACATAACTATCTTTATGTATGAGGACACCGGTTTGGAGGTGTCATGTCACTTGCCAAAGGTCACACTGTCTTTTCAGTGAAAGGAGCAGGGTTCAGAATGCAACCTCCCAGAACCCATGGTTCTGCATGTACCCACAGAAGCCAAGACAAGTCTTCTCAAGCCACAGTGCTATCTAAGTCTCTCTCTCCTCCATGGGAAACATCCCAGGGCTCCTATAAGATATTGTTTGGAATCTCACAGACGTACTCATTGTAAAAATATAATCTGACCATTGCAGTCTAACATGGGAGTCTGCCATTCCTCTTCTAGACATGTTTTAGAGGGGTCATTATCTCACTTGTTGCTGTCCATCAGAACTCTGCTATGACAGAAAAAAAACATCATGGCATCAGAAGTTCCTTAAATATGCCAAGCTCTCTAATATGCCTCCTTAGTTCTGTATTGTTTTCTGACTGCCGAACCCTTCTCTACTTCACCTGATTAATACACATGACTCAGTTCAAGAGAAAAGAAGGAAGAGATGGAAAAAACTCAATTCAGCAATCATCTCATTTCAGCCAAGGAATCTCCCTGACCTACTCTCTAAGTGTGAGGGTCCAGTTTTCTGTGTTTCCCAAGGCACTGCCTCTTGTGGAATTTTTCATGCATACCATCATTATACACCTTGTCCTCACTCGACTATATGCTTCTGGAAGGCAAGAACTATCTATGCCTTTTATCTCTATATCCCCCTTCCCCAGCATTTAATGAATGGGTTGTTAAATAAGTCGATAAATGAATTGAAGGATTGATAGCATGCTCACAGCCTTATTCCAGCATAAGAAGCAATACCTGGTACCACACAGTCCAAAGAGTTAGAAGAGAGCTAGAGTACTCTTGCAATCTCTGCATCCCCCTTAGGCCTGCTGTCAAAGCGTGGGTCACAAATACACGAGTACACGGCATCAGCAGAGCACCCTGTGGTGCCTCCAACCATTTCCTAAGAAGCTATGTTCTAAGCTGTGCAGGAAATGCAATGAAGTTGGGACTTGTCCCCACCATGTTAGCTGTGAAATATTTAGGAATGTGGTGGGTAGGAAGAAGAATGCTAAGCATCAGAATGTGGCCACAGAGGCAAGGAGCCCAGACACACGGACCGGGGGGAACAGAGGACATGCAGTGCCAGTGTCTAGCTGCCCCGCAGGAGGGTGGCAAGTAGTGGTGCTGCACTGAGCAAAGGGCAGGACCACAGGCACTTAGTTCTCCCTAACTCACAACACCCTGGGCAAGTCCGTTCACCCTCTGGGGATACCTTGAGAAATGTTTATAGATGGGATTTTTGGCTATACCCTGAAAATGTGATCTGTATTAGGTCTTGGGACAGAGCTTCTGAGTTCTGCTGTGCCCCTGGTGGGTAGATATGTGCCAGAAGGAAATAAAAACTCTTTCAGTCCCAGGAGCAGCCAGGTGAGTATAAAGGCAGGGGGGCAGGGGTCAGGGCAAAGGCCTGTGGAAGCCAGGCAACCCAGGTCTATTACCTAGGAATGAGCCCTTGCCTCTACATAGTGTCATAATCTACATAGATAGTGACATGAAAAATGTTGCAAAGCATTGAGCTAGACTATATGAGGTGAATGAAGAACACCTTTTAAAAAATATTTTTTTCATGGAGCCAGATGAGTAAAGAGTAGGAGATACAATGGTAACTAGGATCAGGCCCCAACAAGCTCAGGATTGTGAGCTCTCAAACATAAGTACAGACCAAGGCCAGCCTATTTGTGCGTGTTTCTGTGAATCCACATAGAAGACAGAAGACTTTAATCTTGCACCATTTAAAATACATAAATAAAAATAACCCACAAGAATAAGTCCAGTGTCCTCAACAAAGGCACAGTCCTGAAAAAAAAAATCAAGACAAATGATACTTAATCCTCCAAATAACCTGTATTTCATGGTCACAAGAGGCAGGCCAGGGGCCCGAGTCAGCCCAGCAACCCCTGCCTGGCACCTCCCAGCTCCCTTCCTGGCAGGGCGTGGCCCAGGGAGGAATTAGTCCTTAGAAATTAGACACTCTTATGGAATTTCTCATGCATACCATCATCATAGCCTCACAGACAAGGTGGAAAGGGAAGGGGAAAGGACTGTGATTGTCAGTGAAGCTGGGCCCATTACCCCCTGCCCAACATTTATTCTCCTGCCACTATGTGCCATTGACTTTTTAAGCATAGACCTGAACCCAGGGTTGGAGAGAGCTGAGCAGGCACATAACCAGGGAACCACATTACTACCTGTGAAAGAACTAGAGGTATTAGGAAAGCCTGTCTTCTATTAAACTTCTACTCAATTGGAAACAACAAACAAAAGCCAACACCTCTCCCCACATTACTAAGATATTCAGAAATATACTTCATACTCAGTGCTAATGGGCCCAGAGCTATACTGGAGCCAGGGTGCAGGAGGAAGACAGGAGCTAATGTGGCAAGGAAGTTCTGGTCACTCCAAACAGGTGCAAGACCAGTCCCACCAGTCAGAGTGGCTCTGGCTGGCATGACTCTCCTGTGATCTGAGTGGGCAGAAGAGCAGATTCACCTGGCACCAGACAGTGCCAAGGGTGTGTGTGTACGTGCTGAAGCTAGCATGGCACTACAAGAGCTCTAGCCAAGGAGAAACTAAGCTCTGTGATGTAAATAAGGCCTGCCAGGGCACAGCAGACACCAAAAAGGGGAAACTATAGGGAATCCCTAGCACACACAGCCTCAGCCAGAGAGGCAGCTGTCACCTGACTTTGTCTGTGCACACTGCCAGTGAGCAGCTGCACACGTGCCAGAGGAATT